GGAATCCCCAAACGGTTCATTCCATCTCACTCCCCCATCGCAGCCGCAAGTTGCGAACGCGCGGCCCGCGCCTGGCAAACTGTGAGCTGCTTCCTCGCCTCACACTCCTTCAGCTCGGCTTCCTCCAAGCGCTGCCACAGATCCCTGGCATTCGGAAGCTACGAACCGGACATTGTGTGCTCTGGCAAGTGCGCCGAGAACAGAGCCAACTTTGCCGGCACAGAGAATACACACACACACGAATTCCAATTAATCCGCCAAGGGCCAGATCTATTTCGATGTCTTAGTTTCCTTAGTGCCTTGTCGTATCCTTTCTCTTGTTACGTTAAACTTGTGTACCTACTTGTTCTAAAGTATGCCCAAAAAGGCCAAATCAAGCTAGGCAACTAGCATTGGTGCCTCGGGCACACGCTTTACCGCTGCAAACCGCGCCAGCGAGACTTCGCTGCTTGCAGCTTGGCATTGAGCGCCTCGTTGGCTGCTTGAGCCTGGCAATGCCGACCTTAAGCCAAAAAAAGAGACAAGTCCGCGAGGGCTAGGTGGAGGCCCAAATATAGCGATCACTCTTCAACCATCTGCAGTCAAGGTCCTCGACGACTTTGCAGCAAATCACCAATATGAATCTGTCAAACGAACATATGACCAGGATGTACCTCTTCTCCCTCTGCTCAATTTACATGGTAGCCCATCTACGTCTTCGCCCCCCGCCCCCCCCCCCCCCCCGCCTCCTGCAGCTGCTGTTTCAGAGCGCTTTCAGCGCCCGAGCCCAATCCGAGGCCAGCCCAGTGGGGCGGCGGCTTTGGTTGGCTTGCCATCTTGCCATTGCAACAAGCAAACCAGAACTGGAAAGAGATCAAAGTGACTAACTCAAACGCACAGGTTGAGTTCTATTCTCGAAGTGCTCAGAGTGGCGAGGCCAGAACATCCTGCCTGTGCATCTTTGCCACTTCCATCTAAATCTCAGGATGCCCGCAAGAAGCGGCAAAGGTATTTCAAGCTACGTAAGCAGTATGCAAAACACACACACAAAATTAAAACATCAGGGGACAGCAGCTTTTGGTCCATGTTTCCATTCACCAGGATTCCATTTTGGGTACCTATTTTTGACCCACAGCCATCTCATCACAAAGGCTGGGCAAGTGATGGCAGCCCAATTTGCGCTGGCAACTCTGAGCTTACGATTCTGTGAGCCACAAGCGTACTTTGCACGGCCGATCACGCTCGGACGACTCGCTAACTTGATTTCAGCAACGAGTGCAACACGAAGCGACATGCTGATTAACCCAGGTGAGTCTTAATCAAAACCCGGTATTAAAATGGTCTACCCAGAACCATGTAAAGAATTACGAGGCGGCCGCAGCTATTTATGGCTGGGATTGTCCCTTACTCACCTTCATCTACCCGGGTTTTGATTGAGGCTCACACGCTGATTCACCCAGGTGGACGACGATCTCGAATGATTCAGCAACCCTCTAGAACGAGCGGATCTCCAGCAGCATGTCTCACAGGTGATGACCCTAAGCGAGGTATTTCAGGCATTTTCAGCTGCATGTTTATAGCCAAATTGCCGGGATAGTCACGTCAACACACAATTGCTCACTACCACCTGCCTGTATGTAGCATTATATGCGTTGCATGATATGGGGTGCGCTGGAAATCTTCCATTTGTCTTTTTGTAGCAAAGGACTTCAATGTGCTTCAAAGTGACTGTGCCATGCGTAATTTCTCTTAGGAACCTGGATTAAAAGCTTAATAGTGCTGGAAATACCAGACGTTTTCTCAGACATTGTTTGCATCAGGGAAGCCCTGAGTGGGCGGCGCGTTTCTGAGCTCATACAGCATTGCAAGTGCTTCCCCCGCAGCACATGATGAGATGCCATTGCTGTGTTGCCAAGCACTCCATTTAGACTGGATTTCCTGCAACAGGGACTTCGAATATGTGCAGGGAGCTTCTACGGCATTGGGAGGGCCAATGCATAATATGAGTAGTGCAAAGGCCAACTTGCTGATGATTCATGGGAAATAATCTATCTCCGGCGCTCATATTCGAATCTTTAACCCTGCCCGCAAGATTCCCAGTGGAGTCTTGAACTTGTAGATGCCTCGTTCAAGTAGAGTCGAGGAAGATGGTTGAGCAGAGATGAATCCTGGCAGAACAGTTCTGAACGTATCGATGTTCCTTGAGCTGAACGCGTTACATCATACATCCACGGAGACTTCGTGCCACAGCACCAACGACAGGTCAGCTTTTGCACCAACGAATTCTGGAATTCCGCGCTCTTCGGTTGCTGTACAAAGGTCCGAGCTGGGAAAGCTCGCCGTCACCTTCGAAGCTCCGGGCCAGAAAGAGCCTGGCCTTTTCCCAGAAACCTCTGGCTTCGGCTGCTTTGGCTGGGGGTGGAGGAACGAGCTCTGGAGGCTTTGGCCGGAAGTGCCTTGGCCCTTGCCCGGTCCACCTCTGCTGCCTTCTCTGGCGTCATGCTGCTGTAGCCGACCTTAAACTTCAGTGCTTTTTGAAATCGGTCTGCCTGGGTAGACCCTTATCAACGCCAAAATAAACTGGATAGCACCCTACCTAGTCGCTTTTGGGTGTCCATTCGAATTGTGTAGCTCTCCAATCTGCCTTCTTCGGCGGAATCATCTGGCCATGGGTCAAAATCCTTTCGCCGCAGTGAACATCCCAATCCCCATAGAAATAGAATCCCCAAAATGGTACCATTGGTTTTGACCCACAGCCATCTTTTTCACCGAATCCTCCCGCCTCCGTCAGGGAACGTGCTGTGGTGCCACGCTGTTGGCGATAGGCCTCCGTTGTCTGCAACAACCGGCTCCCGCTGCAGCTCGGCAAACTGCCTCAGACGAGGCACGAGGGAGGCTCTTGGCTTGGCTTTGCGTAATGTTGACCCAGGATTTTCTCAACCCGTCCCATTGGGGGGGAACGAGTTCCCTCCACATGACTCCCCACTAAAAGGGGACACCCCGCTATTAAACAAGCACGGGTTTATGAATCCGGGGTTAACATTGCATTTCCAGTCTCCCCCAAACCCGACATGGGACAAACCAGAATCTACATCCACGCTTGCACTTGCCATTCGAAACGGGCACTCAGTAACCAACAGTTTCATGAAGCACACATCATCCGCTTCGCAAAAGCTTAGAGGCCATGCGGCCCCAAAGCGGACGCCTGTTAAAGGGCTCACATTTTGCGATACAGTGGATGAACGAAATCCTGCACCACGTTGAAATGTTGGGAAACCATTGTTTGTGGACATTTACAGGGGACTCATCATTCCAGTTTCTTTCTTTATATTTTAAGGTGGTGCAGGATTTCGTCCATCCACAGTATGCTGGTTGGCTACACTGAGGCTGCGAATGGCACAACTTAAATCTTGAGGTGATGGGCACCAAGTGGATGCCACTCGCTTTTTTCCTAACCTGCGCAGTTTTGCCGGAAGGAACTGACAAAAATTGAACTGCACGCTGAGAAGATCCCATGCGTTGAAAATTCGCGGGCAATGGCCTGTCATCAAACATGTGCTCCATTTGCAGACATGCCAATGTCATCAGGAATCTGGATATCTGCTCATACTTGCCAACCAGTCTTTCTGAAAGATGCACTTCTTCAGCCGCGGTACTCACAGCACCGCTGCTTTTCGCCCTGTGGGCGGCCATCGGGGGCTTCTGTCGCTCCTTTGGTCGCTCTTTTGGTTGCTTGCTTCGCGGCGCATCCGGCACGGCAGCGCCTCCATACGCGCAGGAGGCCAACAGCTTCTCTAGGCGCTCTTCTCGGTCAGGACGGCCGGGAGCTCCCCCCAACTTCGCCATGGCAGGTCCAATATGTATCGATTCACAAACTCGCGCAAATCTGCGAGATAAAGCGTGCAAAGAACCAACTTACGTATGTGGAGTAGCGGTTTGGGATTACCCTGAGAAGCGTTTTTTGATACACATGTCGACTCGCTGGCTGCCGAACGCTGGATGGCAGTGGCTTGCTGTGAAGCGATCCCAGACCGAATGAGACGAGTGTTGCGGGCTTGGGGCGCGTTGATGGGGCTCGCACTTCCCGCGGATCTGAATCCATACTCTCCAGAGCTCTTTGCGTTTTGCACGGACTCATCCCTCTGAGAGACTCCGTCATTTCCGAGACCCAAAGCTTTAGGGGTCTAGCCTTGCAATGGACAGCGGAAATACACCTGTCGAAATAGAAACTGCCGCCCAATGGGACGAACAGGGAACGTTGGCGCGAGAGTGCTCAGTGCCCATGATGTTCATTGCCAGTCATGCTACTTGGCAGCAGGGTCTGATGCAACGCCGCAATGTGGCACTGTACAGCTGGTCTAACCACTCCAAACCGTCATAATGAATTGCCAAAAACTTTAAAAATCCGTGGCCCAATCATCACACTCTGGCCTAAGGATGGCAACATGCACAGCCAATGAAATGCAAGAAGGGCGAGGCTCGCGCCCAGAAGAGACTGAAGGCTTGAGCTCGCAGCTTTCCGACTGTTGCTCCTGCCGCCCATTTGGGTATGGGTCAAACTTACACCCTCAGAAACCGCAGGTTTGAGTCCTTAGGTCCATTTACCAGGGTTCCATTTTGGGCACCTATTTGTTGACCCACAGCCATTTGAGAAGCAGAGAAGCATGGGCGTGTAGCACACCCCACGCCGGCCTCCGGAGGTGCGTGGTGCGGACTCGAGACCTGACCAAAAAACGCGCGCGCGTTGCACGACTCGGCACATCCAAAGGCGGCGGCCTGCGGAGGTTCCAAGTTTCGGCCCAGGAGCCTGCAAAAGACTCTGACTCTGGAGCCGCAGAGGGTTTTGATCAATTGGCCAGGCCTGACGAAGCTGAACTTCCGGAAATAGGAATGCTCCTGCCTCGCAGGCGGTGGCCTTTCCCTAGCTTGAAGTTCTGAAGGGCCCTATCAATGGATACCTCTCCGCTTGCTTGCGCCTTCACTTGCCTCTGACCCCTTGATTGATGACCCCTCAACATCCACAGTTGAAAGATATAAGCGAGATTCCGAATTTGAAGAAAACACGGGTGCGGGGGCGATGCGATTTGGGGCGCTGAAGTGCAGGTGCAGCACGGAACGGGGTGCTGCTAGGAACGGGGCTGGCAGCTTTCCAGCTATATAAGGGTTCGCTGGGCAGAGAAGTGCAGAAAAAGCTGAACTCCTGTCTACCTCTGGCAATTCTTGTGCTGTTTGCTGTGGTAGACGTATTCGTGCCAGGGCGTTCTACTGCACAGTGTGCTGATTGGGGTCTGAATCTAGGCTAATACTATTAGAAGATCGGCTTTGGGCTTTTGTGGGCCCCTTGACGCTCAGATCTCACCAACGACAGCAGCAGAACGCGGCATTACGTTCGCTTCCGGAAGCATGCAGCGAAGAACCACGCCAGCCAGCCAGCCAGCCAGCCAGCTCGGCAGGCGCTCCTGCTTAGACAGGAGGCCAAACATAGCCTCTACGAAAAGAGCTAGGCTAGAAGATGGGTGTGTGGCATATGTCATTCTAGAGCCCAAAACGTGTGCCAGGTTTGAACTGGCATGATACATGGAATATGAGCTGATGTGCTGAACAAGTGTCTTTGGTTGCTAGGCTCTTCAACAAGACGTTGCAAGCATGGCTTCATGAGGGCCGAACACATCCTGAAGACCGCGCCTTGTTCGCAGCTAGGCTCATGGGCTGGCATATATTTCGGCTCAAACAATACATCACGGCACGATGCTAATGAGAAAACAAGTCTCAGAGCTGTACTCACCACATCCGATTCGCAGCCGGGAATTCTTGCGCAACAAGCACCTGCAATGGCAAATTGACCCGCTGTCTTGCGCAAAGGCAACCATCCTTGCCTCAGCAAATGCTTCCCGCTAACATTGGTGAAATGCTCCGGAAAGAACCTGACATGACACTGCTTGCCTTGTCACCAAGCCTAACCTCCACTGCCACTATGAACTAAGGCTGATGGCAGCTTGGACAACAGGATATCCTGAAACACCTGGCGACACTCGCATCCGGCACTTCAATTTTTCCAAACAGGGGCCTGCTTGGGGTCTTCGCTGCTTTGCCCGAAGGGAAGCGGGCCGCACACAAACTCAAAGAGGCAAACACCCAGAGACCAGACCTGCGGCAGCGGTCACAAATCAAGCCAGGACACACCTCTGACATGGGGGTTGATTCTTCTTGCCCTTCGGGCCCCCAAAATGATCATGGGTCACTTTTCCCTAGTGAGACAACTTGTTGATCAACCACGTTTGTTGCGCAGCGACATTCAGCTCAGAGCGCTGTCTAAGACTCCGGCGTCGCAGGAATAGCTGTAAGCTTCTCCGAGGATGACTTCAGGAGCCTGAAGGGTAAGCATAGGACCCCGGATGAAGAAACCCCTGCATATTAATATGGGGGTGTCCCTGGCTTTAGTGGAGGATTTATCACTTTTGGAGGGGAACACCCCCATATTAATGAACAGGGGTTTATTGATTCCGGGGTCAACATTAAGCATAGGACCTTCCAGCTTTCAAACTGTTGCGCAGATTCAGGTGCCCACCATGTAGTGCGGTGTTCCGACCAGGCTTCTGTGGCTGCCTCGCAACAACATGAACTTGGCCAAGCTGCAATTCCGCGCAAACAGCCTTTGTCAAGTCTGACAGCACAGCCAAAATCAATCAGTTTGATGTAGCCGTAGTTGTCAAGCAACACCTGCAGTAAGCGTTCTGCAAACGACCAGTAACATTTAATGGCATCTGAGGGGCATTTTCTGGCTTCAGGTCTCTGTACACGATTTTCCTGAGCTTTGCCAACCATAAGTGCCGCGATGTGGTCAACACGCTGTCGCCACATGCGATTGTTCAGCCACGCATCTTTGCGTGCAAGGCCTGCAAGGCCAGAATCAAACTGCCGGTGTAGAACCTGCAAGTCCGAAGGCAAGAAAATGACAAGTCATGTCAATGCGCGCGGCTCACGTGCGTGCCTCGCTTGAGATCCACTTAGTATGCCCAAAGATCGAATGGCATTGAAGAGCTCCCCTCCTGCACATGCTTGGCATCGCAACTGCTCATTATTTTTCCAATACGAGGTCCATATGGACCTCGTGAATCCTCATCCACATTCACGACGAACAAGCAATGATCCATGACACGCTGCGTCACTGTGGGCTAAGCACTCCGGCAGACTGCTCCGGCCTGTGACAAACTCTGTGAGGATATAGACGAACCTAGCCAAATGCAAGCGATGGAACACTGCTCCAAAGTGCAACCTCAACCCACCAACACTTCATGCCAAAACTTCATGGATTCAGTTGTGCCGTGACCGGTCGACTCCACGTTGCCGGATGCAAAACAACTAAATGGAGGCAGTGGTCTGAGCACATCACGCCCATTTTTTTTTTTTTGCAAATCAAGTCAACTCCTAAAGCAATGTGGTCAGACGGATAAGCGCGCGTTGGCAACCGTTCCGGGGGCATCTCCGGTGGCTCCAGCACGCCAACCGCATCCAATGTCTTCGTGTGGAAGATGTAGTCGATTGTCCGCTTGATCTCACCTTCAAAGCGCAACTGCTGCATCTTTCGTTGGAAAACAACATGGCTGCATCCCTGTCAAAGATGAACATTCATCACTCATGGTTAAAAACCTAAACAATTGGTGACTACTGACAACAACAAAGCGATGCGCAACACAACAACATGATATTCTCAGCTCAGTTGCCCTTTGGCCTTAGCTTCCAGGTGGTATATTCGGGCTCTTCTGCCTTCTCGTAGGCACTGTGCAAGTTGAGAGAATGACTACGTGCAGTCCAGTATGCTGATGCCTCTCCCGCGGATTCAAGTTTCGGCACTGCATTCAAATCACAGGCCACCACTACGTGATCCGCAGCCAATTGCTGCATGAAGTCAAAGAGCTTGCAAACCTGACCACTCCTTGCCGTTTCTGCCAGCTCGTTCTTCCCTGACTGAAAATGGGCGCTGGCGACGGCCGTTGTTCCCAACTGGACGTCTCTGAGAACTGCGACTGCCGCGAAGTCCAGGGAGTGGCAGCTCAGAAGTTCTAGGCGATCCGTGCGGAAGAAAACGGCCACGCAGTCCGAAGCCGTATCCGTCGAGAAGGCGGCGTAGCCGGCGTCCTTTAGCTCGGGCAAGGCCCCGACGTCCAGCTCTTGCACACAAATGATGTCTGGATGGTCCTGCAACAGGATCTCCAAGAGTCGCAATCGGCGTGGCTTCCAAGAAAGCGCCTCTTCTGCAGATGGCATCCAAGCCTCGTTCTTTTGCTTGCAGTCGGCCAACAGATTGAACGACAGAATTCGCAATGGGGAACTTGGACCGGACGCCTTGAACGTGGAACCCGTATCCTGCTCGCCCGGCGCAGGCGATGCGCCAAACTGCTCACGTTCAGCCCATCTCCGCAGCAACACTGGTGGCCAGCCCCAGTCCGAGAGTGCTTGCCTGGCTCTTTGCAGGACCGCATCAGCGGCCATGGGAATTCTCAGCTAGGAAGCTTAGCCAAGACATCAAAGGTCAGGATAATTTTAAGGGCTGTCAACATCGTAAATGTCGTCGGTCCTAGTCCCTTGGGAGAAATATGAGGTTTTGAGACTTCGTTTGAATCGAATGAGGAGAATCTAAATTCATCCCGTTTGCAGCAAGGCAAGGCACGGATTTGCCTGTGGTTTAGAGTGATCGAGCCGAAACCACCAGCGCGACAACAAACATTTATTCAAACATAGCCAACCAACCGAATACATCTCCTGATTGCATCCGGCGCAGAAACCGAGACATCCCAGCCTTGAATCTTTGAAAGTTCGCACCAACTTTAGAATGAACGGATGGTCCTTGGAGAGTGGCGCTGGATTCATGAGCATCTTCACAGCATGGTGGGCAAGGGCGCATTGGACCACCAAGGGTTGTATAAAATTCTGTGTCCTTTTGCTTGCCCCGCAAACTGCCATCATATTTGCCGTTTGTCGTGTTGCCACGCAGTACGCCTCGGCGGACCCAGCTCGAAGATCGCGACTTTTCGGCGCGAGTGTACCCGGGACACCTTGCAGCTGCCTGGAATCGCAACTATTTGCAACTTTCCAGTACAATTGTGATACACAAAATTGAATTTGCCAGCACCTCCAAAATCACATGTACTCACCACAAGAACCTTCGGCGAAGAACAGTGTGGCAGCTTCAGCACGAACACCACAACTCTGGCCTGCTTGCTACCTAGCAAGCATTTTTGCTACCAGGACAACACTGCTTCCCAACTGCCGCTTTTCAGCGTAAGCTTCTCACCCAAAGTACGCTGTGGCGGGTCCAGCTCAAAAACTTTTCAGCACGCATGTAGTACAAGCGCAGTACACTTTGCCAGCTCGAGCGTGAACGTCACAACTCTTCATCATAGTGCAGTACACAGAATACGCTTTGGCAGCTCCAGCTCAAAAAAATACACATTTCGATACAAGTGTGAAAGCCTGCTTCACATGTCATCCAACCATTCAGGAAATTCCATGTATCCTCAGAAACGCTGCCCCTAAATCAAAAAGCGCGGGGAGCTTCACAGCGCCACGAGCTTTGTGCTTTGACTAGGGCAGGTGCCACATCTGCGAGTATCTCGCGCTCTGCTTTGATTCGTTCTTGTTGCTGCCTGGCCTCCGCCTGCAGACATGCAGTCTATCCAGGTCCGTTCCTTCACCGACCCGTACTAACACCATGACAAAATATGGCTGTGGGTCAAACGCCCGTATTTTCAGTGAACATCCCAATCCCCACTCAAATAGGTTCTAAAATGGGTGGTGAATTCACCTAGCCCAAAATGGTATTCTCCATTGGTCTTGACAACCACAGCCATATGACGCCAGCGAAGCCACTACGCAGCGCTCACGGCCCGCCTCGCCACGGCTGATGCATTTCAAGGCGTACCTCGAAAGGCACAGCGCTGTGCGCGGCCTTCGCCTCGCCGTTAGAGACCCCACCTCGCTCGAGATGCCTTGTGCTCCACCAGCTGCACCTCAGAAGTCGTGACGCACCAAGCGTTTCTTGTTTTGCCTTGTCATGCCAAAGCCTTGAAACACCTGCCGAGGGTAGAACATCGCAAGCGGGTCTCTACCCAGCTGGCTGTGGGTCAAAAGCATGTACCCCTGGTGAACATAAAAATAGGTGGCACATGGATGTTCATCCACCCCAAAATGGGATTGCGATAGGTTATGCCCCATGGCCATCTGCTGGGTTTGGCGCCACGCCAAAGGTGCCGTAGCCCAGGGTACAAACTCGCCGCAAGTCCTCCATCTCTATGTCCGCGCGCCTGGCAGGCTCAATCCCCGACCCACTCGGGTTCCGCATGGGCCAAAATTTGTCAGGGGATGGACTGCAGGTTTTCGTCCTTTTCATCCACTAGTGCAACCCATTTAATGTGTGGCTCAAACACTTAAAACATCGCTCAGGTTGCAATTCTCTGGTCTTTCCATCTAGCCATGCCATTCTGGATTTGGCCTTTGGAGCCCTATTCCCCATGTTGCTTCTGGCTTCCCCCTATGTTTCTTTTGGAGCCCTATGGTTTCCCCATGGTTTTCCCTTTTGGCGCCACGCCCAGGTCGGAAATTTTCGGCTTCCCTACCGCCGCCAAATGATCCGGGGCCGCTGGAGCTGAAGCTGGAACTGCAGCTGGGCGAAGACCCGCTCCTGGCTCAAGCTTCGGCTCAAGGAATCTCTGCGTGTCCTTGGAAAAAAAACATGGCCCCTTTTTGATAGACGGATTGTAAACCAGGGCCTTCGGCCTTCCTTATTGTTTTTTGTTGCTGGGGTGTCCCTTTTTGGACAATTTTCATGGCCCTGATAGACCAAAGCCCTCTATTTTTTTAGTTGCTGTGTCCAAGTCCAAGAGGAAGGTGACCAAGGGCTTCTTTTGGACGGTTTGCACTCTAGGGGAACACCAGGGGAACGGGTCACTAACATAGGTGGTTCTTGGTTGGAAAATCGAGGGGTTTCCCGGGTAGATGATTGAGCCACCAGGTAAACCAGGGCTGTCGATTGTTTAAGCAAGACAACCCAAGGGACACCTATGCATGTTGCACTTAGACTTAGCATTTTTTTTTATTTTTTTTTAGGAAGCAGTACTGGTACACCTCCATGGACACTCTTGTTGACATTGTGTATCATGTATCACTGCATCACGGCCATGATTATCATCATCATGATCATGAACATGACCATCCGTAATATGATTTTATAGGATGGGAAGTCAGTAGATTTGTGAGGTTGCAGCTTGCCGCGAAATGGCTTGCAACTTGATGAGCGTCCTTGACAACTTGCTCGAAGACCATCTTGTCAATGGCCTTGTGCAGCAAGGCCAAGAGGATTGGCGGGGCATGTCTGGACTGTGGAGGTTCAGCAACTCGCAGGTCAGTACCCAAAAAACCGGAAGCCGAAAAAGAGTGCAACAGCCGCTTCTAGTAAGAAGCACATTCAGGCTGTCAGAGCAAGTCCAATGCCAAAGCATGCCAAACCGCCGAACCCTCCCGTGGGACACAACACCACCACGCATGCTTACAAAAGCATGGCTTGATTGCTCAGGCAAGCGCTAACCCCCCCCCCCTTCCCAAAACCAACCCAGACTGATCTGGACGCAAGTTACCCCACAAAAGCAAGCTCATCCAGAGGAGCCATACCATCTGCAGTCCAAAGAGGCATCCTCAGCCCTAGCCTTTTCGACAGCGACATGCACCAGGCTCCAGGCCAGCAGGCTCGCTCTCTCCTGGCGAAACATGGTGATCAATCTTCGGCTCCCAACTGGGCTGACTCTTTCTCCGAGTGGGACATGTCATCTTTGTTCTGGCTTTCCGCAATGGTCATCCTATGCAAAAGACCTTTTTGATCAACATCTGATCAAACACTGCGACGCTGCTCCACGAAGCCTCGCACAACGCCGACTGCACCATTTTCCGATGCTGTAGCCCAAGTCAGCTGTCTAACATCGCTGGCGTCGGCGCAATGTATTATACATGCGAAAGTTGGCCGAACGCCTGCTGAATCTTGTCCTACCCTCCGCCGCTCTGTCCCAAACCATGTCTTCTTGAGATGCATTGGCTGGCCTCACTGGCACTGCCCATATGGCCCGATGGCCTTTGTCTATACGACAATCAAGCCGATGTCATGTTGGACCTTGCTGGGCACCACGAGCATGTAACCACAAAACTGGGTCCAAGGCGAGAAGTCGCACTTGGATGGATCCTGGATCTTCTGGCCCTTGTTGTCAGTGTTTCGCACAGGCGTGGAGCCAGGCTTGTGGCTCCAATATCCAGAACGGTCCATGCGGACCCAGTGGAAGTTGGTCTCTGGCCAAATGAACAAGGCAACATGGTGACCGACTGGAGGGGCGGTCGGAAGAGTTGTTCCGTTCCACACCAAGCCATCCCTTTCTGCAGCTGCGCGGATTGCATCACAAGTATTGGCCGTCCACTTGTGCCCAGAGCCCCTCCCTGGTTGGGCAAAGGTGTCCGTGGAGACGTCGCTGGCATAGTTGTAGCAGTTGTTCTCTGACTGGTGCGCAACGAAACAGCCGCCATCATCCACTGTAGGGTTGTACACAGGGACTGAATCCGGCCCCACCGCGTGCGAGCAATCGACCGAGGGCCGCAAAGCAGGGTGAAGGTCATCTGCGCTGACGTCAGGCAAGTCGAGCTCGCCCGCGTGGTCTCGCAGCACCTCGATTAGGGGGCGTAACAAACACCCCCGGATGAATAAACCCTTGTTTATTAATCTGGGGGTGTCCCTGGTTTTAGTGGGGATTGTTCACTTTTGGAGGGGAACACCCCCCTAGTAATAAACTGGGGTTGATTAATAGGGGGTCAACATTACTAACCACGTCATTAGGACCATGATCATGTCAAGGCATTCAAAGTGATGTGGACCTCCCTTTGTTCACGCGTTTGCTTTTCCGAGAACTTCGCCCTGCACACCAACCACTCCGACCCGTGTTTTTTCTGGACGAACCTCAGTCTCGATGTGCTCTACCACCGCGGCCGCCAAATGGTTCCGGAAGAGGCTGAGCACGAAAGACTCAGCTTCCTGATGGCCCCGCAGGAGAATCTGAGACTGGTTGCGCAAGCCATACACCCAGAAGCCGCGATAGCCCACGGTGATGTTCGTGGGTGATGGCCCAGAGTAGTCCTGCAGCTTTGACTCCAGCAACTGCGACCTCGGCCAAACCTTCTATGACACACATGAGGGAGTGCCTCAAAATGAAAGAACTAGGGTTGCGCAGGTTTTGGACTTTGGTTCCATGTACCAAGGTGCCATTTTGGTACATTTTGTTGAGCCACAATCACGCCAACCCAAATCAGCACGTAACGGCTGCGAATCGAATCAAATCAAGCGGCTGCTCACCCGTAAGCTCAAGGCGAGGATTGGCCGTGCCGGAGAACACAACAGGCGACACTGTGACTGCTTGAGCTGCTGCCAGGACTGCGCATGCAGCAAGCCATTTCGAGAACGACATACCTTGCGTTGCCAGGCTTGGCACCATTGCCTGTCTCGAGCAGCTGCGGGCGACTTTCTTTACAGCCCTATTGCATGAGCATGAAGCTGCAGTTACACGGCACATGCCAAATGCGATTCATGCACAGTACACATGCTGTAAATAAGGAGATGCCTGGGTTGCTGCAGACATGTCAATTGCTCTTGCGGCACAAGGCTTGTAACATCACCCAGTGGCTCTGAGATACTTGTCCAAAGGGCTTCATAGAATTGGGCATTGCTTAATATTTGATCGGTTTGCTTGATGGCGGTGCTTTGCTTGACACTTCCCAGGATAATCAATCTCCAATTTCTGAAGGCCAACATGGGTTGTTTTCAGGATACCCCTCCCGCCCTTTTAAAAACCAACCAAAACAGGGGTAAAACAGGGGTACCCTCAAAAACACACACCCGCGTTGTGAGTTGCCTCGGGAGACTCTGTCCAAAACAAGCATGCCGGAATGGCGGTCTTGCACGTGATGGTCAGGGCCCGGGTCTGGTTGCTCAAAAGCCTGCAGTGGATTGCGTGAGTTGCATGAGCTGCTAGCAGTCCCAAAAGCATCAAACAATGGACAAACAAGCGCCAGCGAAGCAACTGTTGGAGGACCCTCTAATTGCTTCTGAATAGTTACTCATGATACTTGGAAACGCCCTGAGCCTCCTGCGCCTGCTCACCGAATGTGCTGAATCCACCCAAAGTCCGAAGCAACCGGCCTGCCAAACCACGTCAAGGCTATCCCCGTCGGTGCAATGCCGAGTTTCTCTAGTTGCTCGTTGCATGCCACGCAATGCCCCGCTTTTAAGTGCATTATGCAGTTTACACTGGGACAGCGCCAGATCGAACATGGCAACCTTTCAGTGCAAGTGTAGTATGGAAAATACACCAAGAACTTCTAGAGGCTGCTACTCGGAAACAAGGCAAGAGCCTTGCGCACGCCTTATGCGCCTTGACTAGCGAGAGCTATATAAGGGATCTTCGCCACAGTCTAGTTTGCTGCAAACAACCCGCGGTCTTGACGAGCTAGTCCAATCAAAGCACATGGACATGAGCAAATGACGATTAAACAACAGCCTGCGCACAATGCTTCCACACCATGCTCCGTCAACATCTGCTTCTGCCACCTTACGCTCCTGGAGCTTTTGCAAACGAGCGATATGACACCTGTAGCCCTTCGTAAACATGTATATTGCACCGAGCACTTAGATGCTGCACGCCAGCCGACCGCAATGAGAGTTCAGCTATTTCGGGCCTCCTTGTGACTGTGTCACCTCCCCTTGCACCACCACAAAGCTCTGAGATGCGAGGTCACCTTCCAGGGTGAATGAATGGCATCGCAAAGGTCGATTCTGCATGTACAAGCCTCCCTTTGGCCTCCCTCGCCCAATTATTGCAATGAACCCACAAAACATGTGCCCCTGTGCAACGCACATGCGCGATATTACGCCCACCGGCCATGACCGGACTGGCAAATCAAGCTGCCCCCGTGGTTTCCTGCTGCCAAGAGGCC